GGAGGGCAGTGGCAAATGGGGATGGGGGAGAAGGGGTTACTGAGTAGGGGTGCGGGGACACATGGGGACGGGGGCAGATGTAACTGACTGAATGGGAGAGAACAGGAGTCAGCCAGGATCTACATGGGAGAAGCTCCCCAACTCCCTAACAAAAAGGTCTGTCCCATACTTCTTCCACCCACACCCAACAACCCTCCAGTTTCACTCCCAGGCTCCTTCTCAGCAATTACTTCCCTCTCCCTCTGCTCCTCCGTTACCCTTCACTCCCCCAAGCCTCTGCACTCCTTCCAAGAGGTACAGGAAATACGTTTCTGTATTGTAGTTTAAATTAATTATTACTCAAAGTTCTGTATTAATATGCCTAGTAAGGAATCTATTTGTCAAAAAACATTTCCTGAATCTTTTTTGTTGTCTGTATTGTTACAGACATACTTGCTGACTGGTATTTTGAAATCAATTGCCAAAATAATTGAAACTGATTATATTTTCTTATTTTGACAAATAAAATATAAAGAATTTTGAATAATTTTAATATATTGTGTGCAGAATTTTAAATTTTTTGGTGCAGAATTCTCCCACGAATAAGTGATGTTTGCCACCATTATATTGTTCACCCTACTCATGAGGTATAGCCCTTTTCCCCAGTCTTGTCTATTTAGACTGTAAACTCTTTGGGGCACAGACTGCCTGCTACTCTATTTATACAGTGCCTAGCACAAAAAGGCCCATTTTTAGTTGATTAGGTACTACTGTAGTAAATATTGATTGTGATAATAACTGCTCTTATAGTTTTTATACAATTCTCCTTGATTTGTAATGCAGTTGTAGAAACTTTAAAAGAATTTTTTTTCCCAATAACAAACTGGTATTTCTTTTTTGTGTGTGAATCTAGTGAAGCTAACATTAAAATGGCTCCTTTATTTTTCTTTTACATCTTTGTTATGATAGGAGAGGACTCCAGAGCTCTAGAAATAAGAGGCCAGATGCTTGGCTGGTGTGCATAATTTTAGCTCCACTGAAGTCAGTTTACAGAAGCTGAGGATCTGGCTCTGTTTTTTATCAGCTGCTCCTGGACCCCTGTTCAGAGGTCCAACAAAAAGCCTAAGCATGTCAGAGGTCTCATTTTGAACTTAACTGCTGCAATGGGACGAATTTCATCTACATTCCTTTTGTAGATGCTACAAAAATCATAACTGTTCTTAAGTTGTGGGTTTTTTTAGGTGGGAGGGCTTCATCAGATGTGAGGGATTTTAATACATCTTGATTTGTTATCCACTAGATCAGTGTTCCCCAAACTTGGGACGCCGCTTGTGTAGGGAAAGCCCCTAGCGGGCCGGGCCGGTTTATTTACCTGCCGCGTTCGCAGGTGCGGCCGATCGCGGCTCCCACTGGCCGCGGTTCGCCGCTCCAGGCCAATGGGAGCTGCTGGAAGCGGCGGCCAGTACGTCCCTCGGCCCGCGCCGCTTAATCTTAAATTAGACTAGATTAGACTAAATACATCTACAAAAATGCCTCTAAAATATTTGCCACCTCTGTACTGAAAATAACATATTTATCTATTGTTAAATTTACTGCAGTTTGCTCTCGATTCTTATCTCCACTGAACTGTAATAAATTTTGGTTACTTGGAGGTAGTTAAATAGAAACTAATAATTGTTTTTCATGATGGAAGGGAATTTGTTTTCTTCCCTTTATATCCAGTAGTTTGCTGCATATTTAACTTGCCTAAACTATCATTCCTCTTAGTATATTTGAACCAGTTGACATTTATATGTACTTTGCATTTTGCATGTAAATGGAAAAGTTTAATAGCTTTGAATCTCAAATCAAAACATTCAGATTTCTCTCTTTTGCCTTGCAACATGACAGACTCACTCTCTAAATATTTACAGACAAGAAAGAGAAATGAATACTTATGCTGATTTTGACCTAACATTTTCAGAAATATCTTCAGTGCTTGATTAAACATTTAAGCTCTGAAATGGGAAATGCGTATCACTTAGTGAGCACAAAATATGGAAACATGACTAATTGTAAAAACTCATTTTAGAACCTTATCGCTTTTTGGGTTTGTATGCTGCTTTGTGTTCCTTCAGCTGCTAGAGGCTTGAGGCTTGGTAACTCAAGAAGTATATGGCTGCAACCATTTATTCCGATAGTTAATTTTAAATGAACAGATTTATGAGACTAATAAAAGGAAAAAGCTTTATAATGACACAAATCCATTGCCATCACAAGTATTGGGCCATAACTACAAAGGGAACTTTAGACTCAGTGCTACAATACCTAATGTGTCCTGACCCCAGGTGGCTTTCATATCCCCGAGTCAGGCACCCAGGTTCCCTTGAGGGGTGAAATTTTGGAACAGCCTTCCGAGGGAAACGGTGGGGGCAAAAGACCTGTCTGGCTTCAAGATTAGGCTAGATAAGTTTATGGAGGGAATGGTTTGAGGGGAGAACATGATTTTAGTCAATTAGGCAATAACGTGCCATCGCTGGTAAAATGAGGGTCCGGCTGGAGAATCTTGCCTATATGCTCGGGGTTTTACTGATCGCCATATTTGGGGTCGGGAAGGAATTTTCCTCCAGGGTAGATTGGCAGAGGCCCTGGAGGTTTTTCGCCTTCCTCCGCAGCATGGGGCAGGGGTCGCAGCTGGAGGATTCTCTGCGACTTGAAGTCTTTAAATCACGATCTGGAGACTTCAACAGCTGAGTTAAGGGAAAGTGGGGGGATCAGCTTATGTGGCCTGCATCATGCGGGAGGTCAGACTAGATGACCATAATGGTCCCTTCTGACCTTAAAGTCTATAAGTCTATATGATCCATTAGGAGAGCTACAAGCCTAAGAATGGGATTCACTAAAGCCAATATGCTGAGAGGGAAGTGTGATTAACTTGAACAAGAGTGTTGTCAAGCTTAAAATGAACAACAGTATTGCCAGTGTTAGGCCTAAAACTTCCGGAAGCTTTATAGAGCAAGCTTTGCAAAATTAAGCTGCAACTTGTGGTCAAAAGATACCTGCAACCAGACAACGTTTTATGCTGACTCCTACATGGTTAAATAGATCATGCCCACGGGTACCGCTTATTAAGACCACTTTTGAAACTTGTGGTTAAGAGACGCTGCAGCCAGAGAACTGATTCCTATGTGGTTTTGATGTGCTAGGCCTTCAGGCATAGGTTATCAAAATAACCTTACCCACAATCAAGACAATAACCCATTTAGAGATAAGTTATATCCTTGTAACCTAAAAAACTAAAGCACCAACTGGCTATTAGAAAAACCACAGTCAAGACAATGGGCTATATGGAAATAAGTTATCTCCTTGTGCATAACTTATAAAACTAAAACAACAATTGGATATCAAAACAACCACAATCACAATAAAATTCGGCCTTCCCTAATTGGTTAACCTGCTTCAAAACATGGTGGGCAGATGAGATTAAATGTGTAGCGCCTCAGGTGGGTTTGTGTGTGTGTCTTGGTCTAAGAGGTCATTCTCTTTGATTGGTCTGACCCACACCCCCCTGAACCGAGGAGACCTGAACCGACTATCTGTACCTGGCCAGTGCAAAGAGCGGTCGACTAAAGGGTAACGTATTCTCGATAGGGTAAGGTTTTGAAGTAAAATAGTCTGGTTGCATGCAGAATAAGGTAACGGAGTAAAGAAGTCTGGGTTGCTCGAGATGATTTGATCTCAAGTTGTACTGACACTATAGTATTAAGAATGGTAGTGTCAGGATAATTTGATCTCAGGTTATATTAATGCTGCAGTATTAAAAATAGTAGTAAAAGTTTAATACTAGTGTTAAGTTGTTTAGAAATAGTAGTAAGTTGTTAATCAATTTATAGTATCTTTGTTTGTACTTGTGTTTATGAAGGGCAGGAATAGTACTTGTAAGGTTGAGTTAATGAGTAATAATAGCTTTGCATGTACTCGTGTCTGTCATCAGTAAAAATTGCCAATGTTAAGGACATGCTTTTATAGTAATAAGTAGCTAATGCATAACATTACCTGTACTTGTGCTTGTTTGCAATATAATTTGTCACTTATATTAATCCTTATTCAATGCTGGTCTTTAATTTTTCTTTTCCTCTTCTGTCTGTGTTGCATTTATAGCCGTAAGTCATTAAAAGCCTTTCTTGAGGAATAATCAGTAGTTTTAATTTCTTTATACAGACACCACTTAACCTCATTACATCTGTGTTGAGTGGTGGGAAGTAATGATGACCCAGAGCCCCATTTGGGCCCTGATGTGTATCCCCTTCTTCCTATATCTCCGCAGGGAGTTGCCTACTAAACTAGCCAGGAGGAAATGCTGAGAAGGGTGTGACCTAAACCTCACCCCTCAAAGGGAGTTAGGTGCTTAACTCTGGATCAGGGAAAAGTGCCTCCCTCCACTTAGGATTCACGGACATGAACTCTTGTGTGGATTTAGGTGCCAAAGCCAAGTCAACCTTTTGGTGTGCGTGCCTTTAAGCCCAACAGAATCATTCTTATTCTCTCTTATCCAGTGCCTATACTGCAGTGTTTGGGGCATTCACTTGGGAGGTGGGTGACCTGGATATTGGTCCTGCTCCAATGAAATGAGACTAGATTGTAGAGGTATGCAGAGTTGGAGTTGTTTCACACCTTTTTTAGTATTATGAAAATATGGGAAACGTGGTACTATCTCTCAGATTCCACTGTACCATGTCTGAGCAAAAGCTGCTGTTTGCTGTGACTAATAAGTTCATATCACTAAGTTTGTTGAGAAACAAACTGGTAAATACAATTTTCTGGTGTTTGTGATCATTTTTTCCATTTAATTAGATATGCAGTGTTGTCTATTAAAGCCCATATTTAAGTCAATTAAAGGGGGATGGGACAGTCTGTAAACGTGAGGGACTAATTGAGAAAAGTATCTGCAGACCAGCATCACTGGGCCTCAGATTAAAGTTTTATAAGTAGAAATGGAAAATAATCTGTATCACACATTACAAAATGATCTTCTTTTTCAGGGTGCTCCTAAACCAATTGCCATTGAGCCTTGTTCAGGAAACAAAGCAGCCGTCCTTACTGTATTTTTATGTCTACCGAGAGGATCATCAGGAGTCCCACCCCCTGGTCAATCAGGTAAGAGTCACATTGGTAATCTTTAAGATTATGATCCTGCAAAGCAGTCTGCCTGGGAAGAATCCCAATTTAATGTACTCAGTGTGGACATAAGGGTCTGCCCAGACAAGTCGCTTTTAGGATCAGGACCAGTAGATAATGGGTACTTTAGTATACTAGCTGATGAATTTTCATTATTAAGGTTGCAGTTTAAATTTAATCTGACATCTCAAGTGAAATGACCATGTATATTTCATACTGGTGAGCATTCTCCACTCAGCAGCTGAACACATCAGCTTCTTTTCAAGTTGCTTTGAACCGAGAGAAATAAAACGATCCTGACATTACCGAATCCATTGAGTTTGCTTTGTGTTTCCAGTTAGGCCTTTCAACCTCTTTCAGTTAGAATGCTAGCATTTCCCAGAATGCCAGTGAAATGAATGCAAAGGATGTGTGAGTGTGTATAGCTGCTTCATTAGTGAGGTGTTCACTTTGGAAATCATCCCAGATCACTTTAAATTGGCATTTCCATTATCAGGGAGCATTTCCCATCGTAATCCACCTCATCTGATTTTTGCCAGATTGTTCTACAAAACTGTTCTTACAAAATGGCCTTGAACAGAAAATAGCTGTGTGTGCTCCATTAATCCTTTGAATGCTAAGTGTGACACTCTATATCTTGGGGGAGCACCCTGTAACCCCCATATTCCTCATTTATATATAATTGTGATATTGCATATAAAACATGCCATCTGAGGTACTGGGGAAAGGTTATGATCTGCTGAAAGCCATTGTTCTATCTAAATATGTATATCATCAATGCTTATTAAATTATAAGAATTGTGTTGTATGGTTTTCACTAAAATATGCTGTGGATTTGGGAAGTGCCCAGATACTAGCTCTCCAGAGACAACAACAAGGGAGATAACCAATGACTGGGTGGGTGCCGAGCAGACATCACCAGCCATCGTCCAGCAGAGGATTACAATTCAATGACTCATTCACAGGAGACACACTGGGGTATTACTTCAACTTGTGACTTAGCAATGCCCACCAGACCTGCCTGGACTTGTGTTCTCCAAGCACATGAACTGAAGGTATAAAACAGAACACAGGGGCCCCAGGCTTTGCCTTTTCTCCTCCCCCCACCTATGCTGCAAGCAACAAGGACATTAAGAAGACTGAAAACTCCAGCAGGGGAGACTGGCCCAGGTTTCAAGGGTGAAACCTGTGTACTATGAACTGCAATATCCAGTGGCGTGAGAGAAAATGCTTAATCTAGATGTTGCCCAGGCTAGTAGGGTTGAGAGTGTAGACTGCCTGCTTATATTTTATTTTCTTTTGGTAACCTCTCTGACTTTTTGTCCATCACTTATAATCACTTAAAGTCTATCTTTTGCAGTCGATAAACTTGTTTTACTGTTTATCTTTACCAGTGAAAAGCAACAGAGGGTCCTGTGGCACCTTTAAGACTAACAGAAGTATTGGGAGCATAAGCTTTCATGGGTAAGAACTTACCCACGAAAGCTTATGCTCCCAATACTTCTGATAGTGCCACAGGACCCTCTGTTGCTTTTTACAGATTCAGACTAACACGGCTACCCCTCTGATACTTTACCAGTGAGTTTGCCTGAAGTGTTTGGTAAATCTGCTCAGGTTTACAAAGGCAGGTGTATATCCACTTTCCATTGATGAAGCAGTGAACCAATTAATAAACTTGCACTGCTTGTCTTGAGCAGTGCAAGATGGAATATTCCTGAGGTACAAGGCTGAGGGGATTCAGCTGGTGCCTTTCTCTGTGTGATTCATGAGTGGCTCTGGAAGTATTCATGCAATCCAGCTAGGTGTGGGGCTCCACATGCTGTTGTGCTGAGTGATAACAGCCCCTGGAAGGGTTTGCTGCTTGTCACTAGTAAAGCATTGTGAGAGACAGCCCAGGCTGGAGAGTTAAGGGGGCACAGCCGTCCCACAGTCCCAGGCTGCACCCCAGGGATCCCGTCACACTAAGTATAATATATATTTTATTGTATTATATATAAAATGGTCATGACAAAAGAGTTAGTAGAGTAATCTGGCACAGATCAGATCTGGTAGATTATTATAGGAGTTGCCAAATAATGGAAATGCTGTTTCAAAATTAACTGGGATACTTTCCAAAACGACAGCTTACTTTTCATTATGGAAGTAATGTAGTATGTGCGCAGATACTGCTATATGCTAGACCAGAGGTGGGCAAACTACGGCCTGCGGGCCACATCCGGCCTACAGGACCATCCTGCCCAGCCCCTGAGCTCCTGGCCCGGGAGGCTAGCCCCCGGCCCCTCCAACGCAGCCTCAGCTCACTGTGCTGCCGGCGCAATGCTCTGGGTGGCGAGCTCTTGTCGGGCAGCACAGCTGCAGAGCCACGGCCTGACCCAGTGCTCTGTGCCGCACAGTGGCGTGGCTGGCTCCAGCCGGGCAGCGCAGCTGTAGCACCACCAGCCACCGGTGCTCTAAGCAGCGCGGTAAGGGGGCAGAGAGCAGGGAGGGTTGGATAGAGGGCAGGGGAGTTCGGGGTGCTGGTCGGGGGTGTGTGTGAATAGGGGTCAGGGCGGTCAGAGGGCGGGGAACAGGGGGGTTGAATGGGGGCAGGGGTCCCGGGGGGGGGTCAGTCAGGAAGGGAGGGGGTTGGATGGATCGGCAGGAGGCAGTCAGGGGCAGGGGTTCTGGGAGCAGTCAGGGAGAAGGGGTGGTTGGATGGGGCAGGGGTCCTGGGGAGCAGTCAGGAAGGAGAGGAGGGGTTGGATGGGGCGGCGGGGGGCAATCAGGGGTGGGGGGGTCTGGGGGCGGTCAGGGGAGAGGGAACGGGGGTTGGATGGGACAGGAGTCCCGGGGGGTCCATCGGGGGCAAGAAGCAGGGGGTTGGATGGGGGTGGGGGCCGGGTCACGCCTGGCTGTTTGGGGAGGAACAGCCTCCCCTAACCGGCCCTCCATACAATTTCGGAAACCCAATGTGGCCCTCAGGCCAAAAAGTTTGCCCGCCCCTGTGCTAGACAGTGTGGTTTATGAATAACTTGTACTCTTAAATAGCCAAAACTATATCCTCTTAACCTTCAAAAATCCATTTGAGATTAAAAAGTATTGAATAATGACGATGGGCAGAATTGGTTGCCCAGTGAAGAAATCAGCAGGACCAATAGTTATTTCTTCCCCTTTTGGGCTGATCACTATCTGTTATATTAAAGATTCCTTTCTCTCCTTTAGCAGTGAGGTGAGGATTTAGTTTTTCAGATGCTGCTGCTTTTGTGTTGGAATATCTTTTCTGGAAGTATTATGTAAATAGGGGTGATACTGTGGGGAATGGTGATCAGGGAGAAGGGTGCATAGAATATATCTGGTTCACATTTTAACAAAATGAAGCAAAGACATAATCATGATTAAAACCCTTACTTGTTTTCTTCTTAAAACAGAAATCTGTGATAAGAAAAAAATAAAAGTAACTTCTGAAACCTGAGATTAAGATGTTTCTCAGTGTTTTTTGTTTTTATTTATTTACCCATGATGTTTATCTATAGTAAAAATAGTATTTGGCAAGTTATTTTTGAACCAAATTTGCTTCACCTTTTGCTATTTTAAAGAATAATCACCACCCTGTGCTGTGATTCACTGGTCACCAAAAGAATGTAATTTTCAAAGTAGGAGTTAAATACAAAAGTGTGGGTGCGCCATTTTGAACATTTGAGTTTACATGGAGTTCACCATATTTATGTTTTTACAGTTGAAAAATGACATTGTCTCCTGCTTCTGCTTTATTTTATTACTTATTCTACCTTACATTAGCTTTACAAGCAAATATTTCAACAATATTCTTTTGTTTATTACTAGATTCTTTGTCAGACTTTTAATGTTTATAAATCTGTGAAATTTTTAAATCCCTTCAGCAGCTTTCATTTCGTTCAGGGTCAAAAGAGAGCAAAACTGCTTGATGTTTGCAACTGTGCCGATTCATCCATTAGATTATATTGCTATAATCTTTTTTCTTAAGTGTAATGAATTTTGGTACTTGTGGACTGCTATCACTGTATGTAGTCATGCATAAGGTAGGCAGAAGCTATTATGCAAGTTTCTTGGCATACCTGTAGCTTTGCTAATTCATTTCATTCCTATCCTGCAGCACTACCTGCTGTTTCATTCTTGGGCTTCCTGGGAGCAGACACTGCCAACTGTGCCAAGCTGTTTGAAATTATATGGAGCTTTTTGCTGCTAACATATGTTTGCTATGCAGTCGGTTTCCTTTAAGACTGAAGCTAAGTTAAAACAGTGATATTCAGGTTGAGGGAAGTTATACGTTCAATAATTAGACAACACCAAATAATCTTAGATTAACATGTTACTTGCATATAACTTCCCTAGAGCTCTTTACATGCATTTTAGGATAAAACTGTCATTGAAGCAAATAATTATTTAACAATTATAAAATAAGACAATAATGTTGATTCTCATTTTATAACAAAAGAATGTGGGGTTTATTACTAATGAGCTTATAGCTGTAAAGTGTTGGAATAGAATAAATATTTTTTCATTCTGGTTTTAAAAATCCCAGTAGTCAGGAGGCCTAATTCTTCTCTCAGATGCCCAGGCAAACTTCTTATTGAAGTCAATGGAGTTATATCCCTGTCTTTGAGTGCAGAAGGGTATAGGAGCCAAACAGTTTTGTTGGGCACATATTTAAAGTAACTGTGACAGGGTGTTCACCCCCACACAAACCCTGAATGGAGTAATATGGGTCACAATGGACCTGCTGCACCTCGAGGGAAGCCAGTGATTGTTAAGCACTAATTGAAGATGAAGTCCAGCTGTGGGAGGAGCTGGGCTAGATGTATAAAGTCAGAAAGTGAGCGCAGAAAGGGGCTGCAGGGAGGAGGTCTACAGTTACTTCCTAGATGGAAAGAGAGTTGGAGAGGGTCAGGGAGGAAATCCAGAGAGAGAGTAAGTGCTGGGGTCCTGTCCTGACTAGGTTGTCTCACAAGAGGCCTAAAGGG